GAGGTAGGGACGGGCAGCAGGTGACATCATGGACGAGGTAGGGACGGGCAGCAGGTGACATCATGATTTTAGATGCACCAAGATCAGCCGTTATAATCGAGTATTTTTTAGTACCTCTGTGTGTCTAGCACCATAATTAATGTCATAAGCAATATTAAAGAACTGGGGCGGTGGCTCATGCCTATAAACCTAACACTCTGGGAGGCTGAGGTGGGAGGATCCCTTGAGGTCAGGAGTTCAAGACCACCCTGAGCAAGAGCAAGCTCCGTCTCAACTAAAAATAGAAAAACTAGCCTGGCACATGGCACATGCCCATAGTCTCAGCTACTACTCAAGAGGCTGAGGCAAGAGGACTGTTTGAGCCCAGGAGTTTGAGGTTGCAATGAGCTATGATGATTCCACTGCACTCTACCCAGGGCGACACAGCAAGATTCTGTCTCAAAAATTAAAAATGACATAAAAAAATGCTCAAGGCATGGTCTCTGTCCTCAAGGAGCTTGGAGTTCGATTAGAGACCTAAATCCCTGTTACACAGCAATTAAGGCTTAATCTGTGAGGCAAAGGCCCTAGGTTGGGGAGGTGCTCAGAGAAAGGGAAGGCTGGATGAGCAGATGCTATGAGGGGAGTTCGGACCAGTCAGGGCCTGGAGGACTGAGATGACGGCGAGGTGTGGGGGGACATGTCAGGATGGGGGAAGGTGTGAGAAGGACCCACATTCACTCAGGTAGAGTGGAACGGAAAGTAGCAGCAGGTGGAGGCCAGACCACCGAGGTCCTTGGAAGCTGAAATGGAAATGGGGTATTTTCCATGCCAGCTGTCCCGTCAGGGGACCTGGAAGCTCTTCCAGACACCAACTCAGAATCTCAGCATGGTGGGCGAATCCCACAGGCCAGGGATGCACAGCTCAGGTGGGGACCTCAGCAGGAAGAATAGGTTTTATTTAAGGACTGGGGAGGACACACAAATGGCTTCAGATGTTTTGCTCTGGAAGCAGCATGCAGCAGGGCCCAAGGAAAGGCAGGCATGCTTAGGAGGTTAGGGGCAGGGTTCCTGTGAGGCCGCAAGGCTTGGGCTTGTGATAGTGAGAGTGGGATGCAGGAATGACAATGCTCCTGGATATAGTGTAGGACGCTGCGGTAGGTTGGAAATAGGGGGAGAGATGGTCAAATTTTCCAGAGACACCAGGACAGCAATCTTGGACTTGAATACGGTGTTATCACCAAGTGAAAATCTCACCTGCTAGTGGGAGGACCGCATGAAGCTCAGCCAGGAGGGATTCACAGTCCATACGGGTGCAGCTCCTCCACGGAGGAGGAGGAGCAGAAGGGGGTGGAGGAACAAGGGGTTACAGAAGGGGGTGGAGGGACGAGGTCAGAGCTACAGAGATGTAGGCATCTTTAGTCACATGTCCAGTGTCACCAAGGAGGTCAAACTAGAGCATGACTAGCAGAGTCCTGAAGGTAGAGCCCATCTGTCATTCTGTGCCTCTTAAGCTCACTGAATTGTCCCCTATTGCCACCCAACTTTATCTATCTGTAAAATAGATTAGAATGAATATCTTTCCTAAATGGAAAAGGTAGTTATCCCAGAAAGCCCCGCATGAGGCTGGATGGCTGCAGTCCTCACCCCTCTGAGTAAGGGTCCCACATGCATCTAGGTTGGGATGTGTCACTGGGCCCAGATGAAACTGGGCTGTGTCTTTGGGTTGAATCCAAACCCGAGAGCAAGCAAGGTACCCTGACACAGGCATCTCCCCCTCTGGGCTCCTGCTTCAGCATTCGTGTCACTTTCCCTCCGCTTCTTTCTCTTTCAAGGGAAAAGCTTCAGGGAGCAGCAGTGTGAGAAGTACAATGCTTACAACTACACCGACATGGATGGCAGCCTCCTGCAGTGGGTCCCCAAGTACGCAGGGGTGTCTCCCCGAGACCGCTGCAAGTTGTTCTGCCGAGCCCGGGGAAGGAGCGAATTCAAAGTGTTTGAGGCCAAGGTGAGAATCGCCACTGGGACTCAGATCCCGAGATGGGGAGGGAGGTCGCCATGCCCACCGCACCTGCGGCAGCTTGTGCTTCATGCAGCCTCTCTTGGCTTCCCTTCCCCACTGCAGGTGATCGATGGTACCCTGTGTGGGCCAGAGACTCTGGCCATCTGCGTCCGGGGCCAGTGTGTCAAGGCTGGCTGTGACCACGTGGTGGACTCGCCTAGGAAGCTGGACAAATGTGGGGTGTGTGGGGGCAAAGGCAACTCATGCAGGAAAGTCTCCGGTTCCCTCAGCCCCTCCAGGTGAGTCTCTCAGAGTTCTGTCCCTAGGCAGAGGAGCAAAACAGGCTGTGATAGGCTCATGCTTGAATTGTGGTAGCCACAGAATAGCAATGTGGTTAGGCATGGGTCAGCTTCAGCTTCCTTGTCAAATGTCAGCAGTCCTCAGGGTCCCAGAATCACTGTACAGATTGCACAAGACGGAATGGATGGAGCATTGGCACAGTATCTAGCCCATAGGAAGGACAGGACACAGAGCAGCCGATCCATTTATGAGAGATGGAGCCACGTGACTAGGGAAGAATCATCTCTTGAGTCAATCACCAAGAGCGCTAAGCTAAGCAACCTGACCTCTGCCAGAAAACAGCTCTTCCAGGCCTGTTTTGGGAAGGACATCTCACCCTAAGCCCTGTCCTCTCTCCAGATGATCTTCAGAGAAGGACTTACCAAGGAGGGGCCTTGGCAGCCTCAGCGGTTTCATGCGTCTGAGATTTTCAGATAATTTTCTCACATGTTAAGGCCCCACATTCATAAAACTGCTAGGATTTTCCAAAATGCTTTCACTTCCATGGTCTTGTCTGATTGATAAAATCCGTGTGTGAAGTGGGCAAGGCCAATACTGTTCGTCTCCATTTTACAGATAAATAAATTAAAGCACTTAGCCAGGTGCGGGGGTACATGCCTGTAGTCCCAGCTACATGGGAGAGGGTGCACTGAGGTGGGAGGGTCATTTGAGCCCAGGAGTTTGAGACCAGCCTGAACAAGATAGCAAGACCCCATCTCTAAAAAGAGAAAAAAAGAAAAGAATGCACAAAAATATTAACCAACCCTTCTAAGGTCACAGTGATAGTTAATGATAGCCAGAAAGAGAACCCATTTTCTTTAGTCCAGGCAGTTGTTTTGGGGTTTTTTCTGCTATTCTATGCACTTCCCGGAGAGCAAAGGGCAAGGTCAGATGTTTTGGTGGACCCCGCTCTGCCACTCTGGCATGTAGTACATACACTTGTCCTCAGCAGTCTCCACAAACCCTAAGAGGTTTTGAAAACTGCTCAATTCCTAAGGACCTACCCTGAAGCTTACCCGTGTTCAATCTGTGTGTATGTCTGTCTGTCTTTAACTATCTCATCTCACCAGTCTCAGAGAACAGAATTTGCTTATAGCAGGCAATGTGGGATTCCTTTCAAACTTAAGTTCAAAGGATATAGAAAAAAGAAGCATGAGCTATTCGGATTCTGGGTCCCTCCACCACTCTCTCTGAGGCATTAGCAGATGGGCCTATGGAGACTTTCGTGGCCCTAGACTAAGCAGCTGGCCCCAGCTGGGATGTGGCGAGAACAGCCAAGAACTCAGCTGACTGGTCCCTCAATAGTCTTGCCTCTCTCCATAGCCTATGTGCCCCAGGTCCCCAGAAGAGAGTACAGAACTGTTTTCTCCATCCCACATAAAGCCCTAGGTCTGTGGGACTTGAACATTTCCCAAAGCAACTCCCTGTCACCCCAGAAGCACTGTGCTCTTAGATTCACCCTGATCCTGTTCTGCGGCCCTAGCAACCCAATACCAGGACCTGACTGACTCTATAGGGCAGGGTGAAATTGCCATCATGTTCAGATTCTGGAATGGGTGTGTAGAACAGATTCTTCTAGAAGGGTTTGAGCGCTGGGCATGGAGGTGGCCCAGCAGTGCAAGGAATTGCAAGCATTGAGATCTCAGCTGAGAGGCACCAGGTCTGGCTGCCCCAAGGCCACTTTCCATTCCCTCTGGGTTCCTCTCTGTGCAATTCTCAAGATCACACAGCTGGCTCGGCGCCTGTGGCTCAAGCAGCTAAGGCACCAGCCACATACACCTAAGGTGGCAGGTTCGAATCCCCAGCCCGGGCCCGCCAAACAACAATGATGGCTGCAACCAAAAAATGGCCAGGCGTTGTGGCAGGCGCCTGTGGTCCCAGCTACTTGGGAGGCTGAGGCAGGAGACTCGCTTGAGCCCAGGAGTTGGAGGCTGCTGTGAGCGTGATGCCATGGCACTCTACCCAGGGGGATAGCTGGAGGCTCCGTCTCAAAAAAAAAAAAAAAAAAAAAAAAAGATCACACAGCTAAACTCAACACAAACATTTGAAATAGAGTTAACAGACAATCAAGAACCCTTGAAAATCCCAACACGGCAAGCCATTCCTGTCTGCCTCAATTTATTTAGAATTTGGGGGCAGCTGCTTAATTACTTGCCCCTCATTTTGTCTGCCCACCCCCAGTCCCTGGGGTGCCCTCCTCAGCCTCCAAGGCACCCTCATGACCCAAACTGCACAGCCACGGCTCATAAGGGTGTCTTTCTGTTCCTGTCATAGTTATGGCTACAATGACATCGTCACCATCCCAGCGGGTGCCACTAACATTGACGTGAAGCAGCGGAGCCACCCCGGGGTCCAGAATGACGGCAACTACCTCGCCCTGAAGACAGCTGATGGCCACTACCTGCTCAACGGCAACCTGGCCATCTCGGCCATAGAGCAGGACATCTTGGTGAAGGGGACCATCCTGAAGTACAGCGGCTCCATCGCCACCCTGGAGCGGCTGCAGAGCTTCCGGCCCCTCCCGGAGCCTCTGACGGTGCAGCTCCTAACAGTGCCCGGCGAGCTCTTCCCCCCCAAAGTCAAATATACCTTCTTTGTTCCTAACGACGTCGACACACAGAACAGCAAAGAGAAAGCAACCACCAACGTCATCCAGCCGCTACTCCACACGCAGTGGGTGCTGGGGGACTGGTCTGAGTGCTCGGTCACCTGTGGGGCTGGCTGGCAGCGGCGAGCTGTGGACTGCAGGGACCCCTCAGGCGAGGCCTCCGCCGCCGCCTGCAACAAAGCTCTGAAACCTGAGGACGCCAAGCCCTGTGGAAGCCAGCCGTGCCCCCTGTGATCCAGCAGGGCAGGGGCTAGCCTTGTGCTAGATGTGGGGTGTTGGGTGCAGACAAGAATCCCCACTGGGGTGACCATACCTATTGAGGAGGTGTGGCCTGCCCAGGCCTCCCATTGCCACAGCCCCTCAGGTACTGCATGAATTCCTAAGTGGAGGAAGAGAGGGGACAGGACAACAGATCCTGACATCAGCTGTCTAGTGGACTGGACCTTGCTTGGGTTCAAGTAGAGGACATAGGTTAAAAGGTAAAAGTGCACTTATTGACCCTAACAGGACTCTCAGAGTCGGCCTGTCTGCAAAGAACTAGCGAAGTTAAATGGAAGAAAAACAATTCTTTTCTATCTGGTTTCCCCGATAAATAATCTACCTCAGAGGGGAAAAAATTAGTGCAAGAGAGGTATGGGGGACAGAGTCGATGGTGAATGTCAAAGCAAGCTTCATAGCCGCGCCCCACGCTGTCTTCAAATGAACCGTGACTGTCTCAGTGTTAAAGTCCATGGCCTCCGGCTGCAGCATCGGTGTGGAGAGCCACATGTTCTCAGGCTGCCACCTGCAGGGGTGGATCCATTTCAAGTATTTATGCAAATGTGTCTCTGAACTAAAGTGTGATCTTATGCCAAGGTAGTGGTCTGGTCTGGTTCATTATTTTTTTGGAAAGGACAGGGACTCGGACCCCAAGAATGGAAGGTGAAACTAGGTCAGCTCACCTTGAATTCACGCAAAGTGAGAATTAGAATTTAGATTTCTCACAAGCCTGCCGAATCCAGCTCCCTCGGGTGACTTTTCATTTGAATGGTCTAGACCAGGGACCGGCCCCACCCCCAGAGTCTGTGATGCAACGGGCTGGATGGCCTGAGAATTGACAAGTCTAACAAGTTCCCTGGTGACAGGAGGCTGCTAGTTTGGGGACCACACTTTGAAAATCCCTGTGCTGGCTCGGCGCCTATAGCTCAACCGGCTAAGGCGCCAGCCACGTACACCTAAGGTGGCGGGTTCGAATCCCCAGCCTGGACCCGCCAAAACAACAATGACGGCTGCAACCAAAAAATAGCCGGGCGTTGTGGCGGGCGCCTGTGGTCCCAGCTACTTGGGAGGCGGAGGCAGGAGACTCGCTTGAGCCCAGGAGTTGGAGGTTGCTGTGAGCTGTAATGCCACGGCACTCTACCCAGGGGGACAGCTTGAGGCTCTGTCTCAAAAAAAAGAAAATCCCTGTGCTTGGGGAAGTTTCCTACTCAGGTCACAATAGCTATACGATGCCTCCAGGCTTGTTACTCTTAAGAAAGAATATCTCATTCCACTCTGAGCTTCCCATCGCCCTTACAGGCTGGCCTGCCTCATTTTATTTTAGCTGAAAACACAAGATTCTCTTAGAATCCCAGGAATTCTAAGCCCATATGGAGGCACCATCATCCCATGACCACAGTTCATCCATACCTTACGACTCTTTTGGCCCAAGCACCGTGTAACTGTCTCAGTGAGCCTGTGGGCCAGGATGTCCTTCCCTACCCAGCACCTGAAAGCTGCCCAAGAGCCTCCAATGCCCCCTGTTCTACTCCATATCTCCTCACATGCCCCCAGCCCCAGAGGAACTCTGGCATAGAGGGAACTCGGTCCTTGGTCTCAAGTAGATGAAAGTGATGACATCAAGAAATAACATTCTAGCAAAAGAAGGGAAATACCCAAATTCGTGTCATCTTCCTTCATCACCTTTGACTGCTTTGATGTCCCTGCAGATTTCTCTCGAGACCCCGTCATAGAGAGAGTTCCATAAGGCCATGTGGCGCCCTGGTGGCAGTTCCAAACACAGGTCTCCCTGAGCCCAGGGACTCAGACTTTTGGAGCACAAGGACATTCCTCTCCCTGCTGTCCCCCCAACCCTAAAGCTGGGCTCTGCACAGTGGCAGCGGACATAGATTTGACCACTTTTTCCTGTCTGCCAACTGTAGTGAGCGGGAGGCCAGGCTTACCTAAGCATAAACAAGCACACACACAGGCATGCTGGTAATGATTTGCAAAACCAGACTGTTTCCTTGCTGTGCACCAATTTTGTTGAGGCTGATGAATGTTACTGCAACTCTTTATCCCCTTCCATTTCTCACTGTGCCCCAAATACTCCAGGCCAAGTGTGTCCCCCCACTAAGGGCACAGCCAGGCTAGCCTGTGCCATCCACACGGCCCGCGTCATTACCAGGCGCAGCTTTTGCCCCCGAGCTTGCTGGCAGCAGAGCCACTGATGTGCAAAGCAGAATGGAATCCAGCTTGGCTCTCCCCGGCTGTGTGGGCTCGGCAAGGCTCACAGGACGCATACTTGTTTGTGTCTGGAAATTCAACAGCTGCAGCCCAGGGACTCAGAAAACAGATCTGCAGAGGCAGACCACACCATTATTTGCCCCAGCCAACCACGACCACCTCTTTAGCCCAGAGAAGGAAAGATTGTATTCCCTCGGCTGAATTTTCCAGCTGGTGCTCCTCATGGAAACTGATCCCAGTCCCTTCTAATGAAGGCCCTGACTCAGTAGGTGCCCTGGCCATTAACTTGCCAGAAATATTTCAAAGGGTGTCCTTTAACATCACAGTTAATTTCCAAGTTCTCATCCTTAAGATAAGTGAATCTTTGTCTGGTGTTTATTCTCTGCCCTTTACTCATCTCTAGCTGACCAAAGAAAGGGTTCTGTGAATTTACAAAAGTATACAACAGTATTGTTCCCTGATCTACTGTGGCAAACCTCCCCTCTTTTCCAGAGACATTTTCCAGCAGTGGCAAGACCCGTGTTCTCACTACAACCACAACTTATTCTCTGATGATGTCCACTAGGTTCTACATTCTTTATGTGGGGACTTCTAACCAAGTGGGCCCTCTTCACGAGGACCGTTCCAACCACAGTTCTCCTGCTTCCCTCTGGAGCGCTCACATTGCTTCAAACTGCCCACCTCCCCCACAAGAAAAACGAAAACCACACATGACAAGAACAATCAAAAAGTTCTCAAGGCTAGATTGGCTTTTGCTTTGCCCTGACATTATCCACTTGTGATCCAGGGCAGATAAGGACAGCAGCATCCCTGATGCTGTATACTGAGTCTGATGCAGGGTGCTGGGTGCCCCAGGCCTTCTGCAATGGCCCAGACCCCTGTGTCCAGGTCCCCCCAGCCCCAGGAAGGAGGCTTCAGAGTCCCACCAAGATCTTGCTTCACCTCCTCTGCCCTAGCTCACCAAGTCCTTCTAGAAGCCACTATTTGAGGATTCAGAATGGTTTCCCAACAGAGTGAACAGGCATGTGGAACTTGCCGATGAGAACTGGGCATAGTATTACCTGTGGGTTCCCAGATCTCTGCCATCACAGCCTCATCACTTCCTTTTGCCTCCATGGTAAGTTGAAGCTAAATTATTGAATATGTGGCCCAGAAACCCAGGGGACAGGGTGAACACCATGAGGACAGTGATGGTGACGTCTTAGGTAGGGCTAAGTCACTGTCCCTGAGACTCTCCTCTCTGTCCTGCTCCGCAACCACTCAGCTGTCTGCGTAGTGAGAGGGAACTCCCCAGGTACGAAGAACCACGTTCCTGCCCGGCATCCCTACCCCTCACTCACATGAGCCCGACAACCAGCCACCCAGACCTTGAGCATGCACCCCCCCCATGGGTACAAGGACAGAAAGCGGGGCAGGAGGGTACCCAGCAGCACTCCAGCCCTTGAGAAACAAAAACAGGAGTTGCTGTCCTTTGGCAGCCTGTGGCTAAAGAACAGCACATCTTGTGAGGAGAATCCTCCTCTAACACAGCAGGCCTTCCTGAAGTCCTCTGGCCGAGCTTCCAGCTTCAGGGAAGCTGCGCGCAGAACACGAAAAAGAAAGAAGTCGCCCATCTAAGCTGACGTTTTGCCGGCCTCCACGTAGGTGATCACTGAAGTTACAGATACCGTGGTTGTATGGACCTTTCAGATGAAAATATTCTTAACAAGACAAAGCTCACACACCAGAAGGAAGTAAAATCTGAGTGGTGATTGAGTAGAGTGGGCAGGTCCTGAGTCTCACGCTTTCCCTGAGCCACGCCAGTCCCTCCAAGGCAACCTGTCGGCTTTCTAGGTCAACACTTCCCAATGACCTGGCCAATTTACAGCCTGTGTCGTCTTTCCGTGGTTCACTCTTCCTCAGAGGGGAAGCTTCTCTGACATTCCACTTAGGAAGCAGCACATCTTGCTTAAAATTGAGTGCCGGCCAACCCACACCCCCAAACGTAAATAAAGGGGTTCCTCACAGCCACTGCTCAAGTACTGGGGAGAGAGATGCCACCCAAGGCCCAGGTACATTCTGAACTGCTCTGATGACCAGGGAGAGAGAAAGCCACCTGTCTCCTGTAGAACATACTTTCCCTCAGGCCTGGGGCTCAGCGAAGAAAGACAGGAACATTCTGGCTCGGCTTCTAGCCCCATGAGCTGTCCAGCCTCCCGCTGGCAGATGCACCACTGCCCCAGGAAAGGAGAGAGTAAGCGAACTTCCCCAGACCTCACCGTTCCTCATTCCAAACATCTTGTAAGTCCCAGGGGCATTGAAAAAGTCTGTCCTCAGCCAAACACAACTTCCTGTTTCTAAGAAAGGGAAGAAAAAAATAGTTGAAAGGGTTTTTGGACACTGACAATTTCAAGTTTCTGTATACGCAAATGAATCAGACACATGTGGAATAAATTTCTCCGGAAGTAAGAAAAGATGCTGTGAGTTCTTCTTGCTGGACCAGAAAGTGGGGAAGAGGCGAACTGGGGAAGGAGGTGCAACAGAGGCTGAAAGGGGCGAGGAGAGCCATGTGACTGCCAGATCCAAGAGAGGGTCCCACCGATGACAAGGCTTGACCAGGCCCCTCCTGAGGCCACATCCTGGAGTTGCTGATTACTCAGAACTTCTCCACATCTGAGCTCATGAATGCAAATATCCTCCTCCCCAACCACAACTTCCCATCTTCCAGATCACTCACCAGGTCCCGCAACATGGATCCTTCTTTAGCATAG